TTGCTTAAGTGACTTAGTACCTCATCCCACTAGATGTTGGTAAATGATCTATTAATTACATGACAAATTGAAAGTTAGAGACTAAACTGATTGAAAAATAATACAATGAAAAGGGATAATTTCATCATAATATTAAGATTTAAAATAAATATTAATTGTTTTAATTATATAACGTCATTTAATTTAATGTATTAGAATTATTTAAATAGATAATTCGAAACAGCTATGCATCTGTATGACTATACTTAATATCGAACATATAAAGTTGCTGAATTTGACTTTTTTTCCTTTGTTAGGTACATCAAAGAAGTTGATTGATGTTTTGTGTCATCATCAAATATAGATTGAAAATGACATTAAACCGAAGTTAACTTAGTCTCTTAATCGCATAGCATTGAAATATCTCGATTCATTCCACCATTAAGTGGGTTCAAAGATTAAAAAGAGTGTAGTTTTTTTTTAATTTTAAATTTAAGTAACTACATTTGTAAAATGTATATAATATTATCAATAATTAAAAATAATTTTGAATAAATATTATATTAAAATCACGTATCAAAAATATATATAACTAATTAACCAAATGAAAACGAAATTTAAACCCAGAAGGAGCTAATCTAATCTTTGATCGTTTGTTAATTTGGACAGTACACACAAATGAAAGCAAAAGGCAAACAAATGAAGAGTCAACCACAAAGACAAAGCTTTGGGTCCCGACCAGAACAGAAGAGAGCAATGGGTTTGAATAATTGGAGGTGGTTTTAGTAAGAGAAAAAAGACGTGAACCTACCATGTAAAATCCACGTGAACATCGTTCATCTGTCTGGGAACTACCAGATAAGCTTTGGGACAAGAAATAATCAAGCCCACACGGCATTTCTTTATTATATTAAAATAGATCTTCCCTCCAAAATAATAATTTGTTAGGTTTGAGCTCTGTCAGAAAAAAAGCTACCATTCATAATAAGGAAGAAATCTGAAGTTTTTGTCATCAAGATTAATGTTATGGCTTCAACCACACGTATATCTAATTAGCTTACCATACATATTAAAGTCTCATAATGATGATTAGATATTGATATATAAATTTAGTGTCATTTTATGCTTAGACCTCTCATTCAATTCTATTCATTAAGTAACCTCACTGGTATAAGACGGTAGCGGATGAACATTTCATGGGATTAGAATTTTTTTCTTTAAACTCGAAGTTTTCTTCATTGATATATGTGTGTCCACACTAAAATACTATGGTGCTCACCCTGAAATTTCATCGTATCAAAAAAATTTATTGTTAATATATGTGTGCCCGTTCTCAAAAAAAATTATAGATCCACCACTGGTATAAGGGAGTGTTGTCTCCCTTTAGGTCTTGAGTTTGAGCAACTACCTCTAAATGTTGTGTGCGTTCATTATCAATTGACTAAGAAAATTTTAAACATATACTACCTTGTAATCACCCTAAACAAATAAAAAAAAACTCAATGTCAGACTTGATTGAACTCACTCTTTCCAAAACTATTTGCTAATTAACTAATTATATGCCTTTTTTTTGGATTAAATACACAAATAAATGTCTAACCTTTTAGATGCTGCTCATATAAGTATCTAACCTTTCAAAACGATCAAATAAAAGCTTAATACTTTTAATATGTACAAATAAGCATATAATCTTTCAAGATAATCAAATAAGGACCTAACATTTTAAAATATGTTCAAATAAAGACCAAACATTTAGAAACAATATCTTCCCTTTATCATTTGAGTAGATACAAAAATATTAGGCTCTTATAAGAGCATATTCGAAAAATGTTAGAGCTAAGGATGAAATTAGGATAGAACATTCAGGAGCAAATTTTTTAACAACAAACTTGAAAGGGACCTAAGAATTATTTAAACCAAATAAAATACAATCTTAATTTGTTTGATTTCAAATTTTAGAGGAACTAATAAGTAATTAAACATAAAAAAAGTAGGGAAAATAGGAGTTGGGGCTTAACGTGAGTATTTTCAAAATTGATAGAACCTAAAAAGTTATTAAATAAAAAAAATAGGGGACATGGCTTAAGTTAAGTAACTTCAAAATTGTTAGGGCCTTAAAAAGTAATTACACAAAAATAATTGAAGGGGGGGGGCGAGCTCCCATTTGCTTAGTAGTCTTGTCCTTGGTTAAAACTTTATTCAACATTTTGAAAGGTTTAAATCTTATTTGAGGAGATTCAAAAAAGTTTGGTTATTATTTGATCATTTTAAAAGGTTAAAAATTTGTGAATAATCCTTAAAAGATTATTAGACTCTTATTTAAAAAAAATTGTTTGATTTACATATAATATTTATAAATAGCTAAACTACTAAAAGAACCCTTAAACTAGTTTACTTTTATCAAATCATCTTTTATTTATTTATTTATTTATTTATTTGATGAATGGTGGGAGTATGATTGATATAGGAAAGTCATACACCAGCTTTTACTTTTGATGCGCAAAATAAGTCCATATACTTTGGTTTATTTATATTAATATTATTTCAAATGAAGTTATAGACTTATTTGGGTATGAGTTAAAGATTAAGTGATTATCACTTAAAAACTTAAGAGTTCATTTGAATGTAATGAAATTTTAAGAGTTAGTTTTAAAAGGGATAAAGATCATAACAATATATGGATTTTGATTTTTTACCAATTATTAATTGGTTTAACATGATAAAACGCTAAGTTATTTAAACAAGATCCAAAGTTTAACTCATAATATCGTAAATAAAATAATTTGAGTTGAGAAGATTGTCTCATTCCCATAATAAATCTATACACTATATAATCTAAATTGAAATCAAATTTAATTTATTGATAACTAAAATTAAAATTCTTATATATAATTAAATATCACATCAAAATTATATAATAAATAATTATTAAAGTTAGTTTTTTTTTATTTTTCTTTATACAAAAGGAAACAACTAGTTTTTATTGAAGAAAGAACAATTTTAAAATCACAACGAAGGTTTACAACCATAAGTATAAACTAAGCATATAATTAGGACATTTCTTATAATCATAGACACAAGAAACTAACTTCACTTGATATCATAAGGACCATACAATAAAAAGATTAAAAATTCATCTACAAAACTCGAACAAAATATAGATGTGAACAGATCTAACTATACCGACAAATGAACCACAACAGAAACTCAAAGTACTGGAAAATAACTTAAAGTGGCAAATCAGAGTCGATCGTTGTAAGAAAAATATCTTTGAACGTAAATTGTATATCTAAATCCAATATGAAGGTCCAAAACAGGAAAAATCAATATGATAACAAATAAACACCATCTTGATCAATCAAGACAACGTCAAATCTAACCTTAGAAAAATTAAAGAAAAAAGAACAATCAAACTACTAATAGAAAAGATCGAAAGCGTTCCAAAAGATATAGAAAAACATGCCAAAAGATATAGAAAAATATGCCATAAAGATAAAGAAAATCATGTTGTGAAACCGTAATTATTAGAAATTTTAGAAAAAATAAAGATGTAATATAAGAAAATAAATTAAAAACAAGAAATATCGACTATAAGTGAATATCACTAAGCTTGTGTTGATGCCAACCAATAAAACTAAAGAAAAAGCGGAAAGTAGGGTGAAAACGCTAAGCAAAAGTTAAATTTTTATTGTACATTAAATAAAAATTAATACATAATTTCAATATTTAACCACCTAAATAAAGTGACAATGTTTAAAGGCGTATTTAATATCTCCTAATTTATCCATAATGTTAATGAAATAGGTTAACACTAGCAGACAGTGGAGTCCTAGATATACAAAAAAGATGGTAGGTTCAATCTATGAGGTTAACTTTTTCAATGAAAATGAAGATGAAGATGTGATTTGTGGCAACCATTAATCTCAACCGTCGGATTAACACAAAAATACCCAATGTGGCAAACATCCATTGGAAGCTTCAAAACCCACCGACAAGTCAATTAGCTTCATGGCCATTGGTTGTCACAGTTTTCTCAACTTTTCCTTTCAAAAACATTAACAAACGAAAGCGACATGGCGCTAAACCCACCATAAAAGAAGAGAGAATCTTTTTTCTTTTCTTAGTCCTAAAATACGAACATGAAATATTAAGAAACAATCACCCCTTTATCCCGGGCACATGTCCCTTAATCTAAAATTGAATTCTTATATTAGAGTCGTAAACGAAACGGGATAGATCATGAGCTACTTAAGTTTGATTAGGTCAAAACTCGAATGGAATTGACTCGAACTCGAATTAGATTTGAGTTAATAATGAGTTGAAGCGAGTTATTTGATATCTTACATGAAAAACTAGCTAACAACTCGAAAAAAATAATATATTAAATTTTTTACTTTTTAAATCGAATTATTAATAATATTTATATATTTTTAAATATAATATGAGACTTTTATGAACTTAAGGTTCAAGTTCAAACTTGAGTTCAAGCTTGAATCGAGCTCGATTTTAAGCTTGAATCAAACACAAGTTTAAACTTCAATTGAACTAAGTTTGAAAATATTTTGAGTTCAAATTTTTCTGAACTCAAATCAAACTTTAGTTTTTTTACTTTGATTTTTTATTTTGAACTCAAGTTCACGAGCGTCCAAATCCAGTCGAATTTTAATTTTTTATTTTGAACTCAAGTCAAATTTGACAATTTTAAACTCATACATTTTTTAATCAAACTAAATTTAATTTTTAACGTTAAAATTAAATCCAATTCAATAATACTAAAACTTGATTAGGCTGGTTTACGATACTCTTGTATACGTTGGGTCTCGTGAATTCTGTTTTGACTACGAACCATACCTGAATTCATGGGCGGTTCAAAGCACTAGACGTCAATATCTGTCGCAGTTTAATTATTTTGTCAGTCACTGTTTCAAGTTGTGTTTTCTTAATACAGTCTACAAGTTTGCTTCGACAAGACAGTAACTTTTGTTCTTTGTATACAAATACAACCCTTCTTCTGGTTTCAAAAGGCAATAACTTTTTCCCCTCATTATTTCATTTACAGTTCAATTTAACGCCAAAAGTTTTTTTCCCCAAATGGAATTGGAGAGTGGGTTTTACTCGGCTTGGGAGAGTGGATTTTTATCGGAAGATGGTGATGATCAACTGAAAGCAGCGGCATCACTCCCATTAATCCCTCAGCCACAAACACCGAAGGAGCCGATGGAGTTTTTGTCGAGATCCTGGAGTCTATCTGCATCCGAAATCTCCAAGGCTCTTGCCCAGAAACAAAAACAGTTTGAGTTTGATACTGTTAATCAGAGTTCGTCTCCTGATTCCTTTGTTGCTCCACAAATTGTATGTGCTCTCTTCTTCTTAGCATCAAATTACAGTTTCAGTCACGTTTTCTGCTGCGTCATATTTATTCCGATTATAAAAATTACACTCATTGCCTTAATAACGATTTTAAATGATATCTTTATCGTTATATAACAGTTACTGTAGACTACTATTTAAATCTCAGCATGGCATCATAAGTATGCCCTTTTTCTTCCCTTCTTCCACCTCCGTTCCTAAATTCCTTGGTTTTCTATGGATCAGAAACTTAAATTTTGATCCTTTCTTCATAGATTTCATTGTATATTCTAGCTTCTGTTTCTAATCTTTTTCTAGTTACATTCTTAGATCCTCTACTATGTTAAAGTTGAATATTTAATCATTTTATTTTATAATATTATTCATATGTATAACTGAGTAATAAAAAAAATCTATACATCATTTGAACCGCTGCATCAATTTAAATCATCTAATAATATTATAAAATCAAAGAGATGGTACTATGTTAAACTAAAATAGAGGAATTTAATTTCAAAGTTTATCATAATAAAGGGATTAAAACCATAATTAATCCATTTTCTTCCCTGTGAAGAATCTGGTATTTTCTTTGAATATGGTTGGATGACAGATTTCATATTTCTCAGCTATAAAATTTTCATTTTTAAACTTTTCTGCCTGGGAAATCCCATTGTTTATTATTCAACTCTGTTTGTATAGGCAGGGAAAGTGATGAACTCTATTAATGCTCGAAGAACAGGAGCAATTGGGAAATGGTTTCATCACCACAAGGAATTAGGAACCAGCACAGGCACAGTGAAGAAGAAAGATAAAATGCGCGCAGAAAATGCTCGGCTGCACTCGGCTGTTTCCATTGCAGGACTAGCCGCAGGCTTGGCTGCAGCAGCCGCCGCCGGCTCCTCCAATAGCGGCGACGGAGCCTCCACGGGCTCAAAAATGAGCATGGCATTGGCATCCGCCACGGAACTTCTAGCATCCCATTGTATCGAATTAGCAGAGCAGGCGGGGGCTGACCATGACCGAGTTGCTTCAGTTGTTAAATCAGCAGTGGACATTCAAAGTGCAGGCGATTTGATGACTCTCACTGCAGCAGCTGCAACAGGTAATTTGTGCTTGTTGCGTATGTTACGATGTAATATGATTTATTTCTAAAAATAATTATGCTTTTATGCTGCGGATTTTAATTTTTGATGATTTTGAAAAACGGTGTGACCGTTATACTATTATGTTACGCTGTGAATCATAATTTGTTACATGTTTTTCCTTTGATTGAAATTAGCCTTGAGAGGAGAAGCGGCTTTGAAAGCAAGATTACCCAAAGAAGCGAAGAAAAATGCAGCTATAAGTCCTTATGAGAGGAGTTTGGCAGAGACTCATTGGGCTTCTGATTTTCATGCTCCAATGGACCAGAATCCTCCGTGCCAGGGTGAACTACTGCAACACACACGAAAAGGTGGTTCCTAGAACTCTCGAGATATAATGTTAAAAATATATCTTTAACCGTCTGACTAACTAATTACTCTGAACTTTGTCTCTTATTATTTCCGCTCGGTGACGGATTTAAAAATATTTTTAAAGGTGTGCACATATAGGCTAGTAACATAATTTTCGAGTGAGTGAACACAATTAAAATTTTAGGGTGATCACCATCAATAAAATAAGGAACTAACCGAAGAAAATTCGGATTTTAGAGTGGGTACAAATAAAATTTTAGGGTTAGCACCATCAATAAAATAAGAAATTATCCGAAGAAAATTTAGATTTCAGGGTAGACACTCAAATATACACGGCTCCACCACTGCTCCTAACATTTCATTTTTAGATAAAAAAACATTTTAGTAGATGAGAATGGTTAGTTAACGAATAATTAATGCTCCCTAATAGGGGCCTTTTATAATAAAATGAAACATTATAGGTTAAAATGCTTCAAAAAAAAAATAATGATAAAAGTGAATAGTCATTTAAATTTCAGAGTATTTTTATCATAGAATAAAATGTTAGAGATCAAAATACTTCAAAGAAAAAAGAATTATTTTGATTTTAAATTGTTTAGAGTTTAAATGATTTAAAGTTGGAAATTTCATCCAATTCACTTGTTACTGCTATTTTCAGGTGTGTTGAGATGGAAAAGGGTGAATGTATACATCAACATGAAATCTCAGGTACCAAAAACTAATTTGATGGGGAAAAAAGAAACCATATTCTATTTCACGTTTACATATTGCATGTTGCAAGCTCTCACAAAAGCTACCTTTGTCAGGTCATGATTAAGCTCAAAAGCAAACACGTTGGCGGAGCATTCTCCAAGAACAATAAATGTAAGCACTTTTTGACTACAGCTTTACAAAAAGCAACTTTTGCGCACAATACATTTAATTAAGTAGTTGATTTGAATTCATCCTTGAGGTAAAAAAAGTATTATTCTTTTTTATTATGCCATAATGCATTTAATGAAATGTCTTGTTACTAATTTAGTTATGTACTGGTAGGTATTGTTTATGGAGTGTGTGATGAGAGTTGTGCATGGCCATATAGAAAAGAAAGGGAAAGTTCAGAGTCAGAGGAAGTGTATTTTGGGGTGAAGACAGGGCAAGGTCTTATAGAGTTCAAGTGTAAAAGCAAGATCCATAAGCAGAAATGGGTTGATGCCATTCAAACTCTGCTGCGACAGGTCTGCTATGCTGAAGCAGTTCAACTTTCTATGGACTCTTTGACTATTAAAGACACTGTATAATACTAATATTTTCATAGTATATAGTTTAAATATACACAATAAAAATTCGGGTTGTTTAAATTATGAATTTTATACCAAAAAAATCTGAAATGTGTGAGCAATGAAACGAGTTATCGAGGAAGAGGTCCGTTTTGCGTGGGAGAATAAATGAATTTTATGCCAAGTTGATAATTGTAATATGATCGAATTATATTAAATTAAAGTAAAATAATTAAATTTGTAATCAAATATAGTACAAAAATGGAAACCATGACTAATCTATTTAGAGTCAAAATCAGGATCGTTATCGAGTTTGTCCAGGAGGAGTTTTTGTCCATTAAGATGTATAATTTGAATTTTGAAATCAATTATTTATTTATTTTGTAGTTCTAGATTTGATTAGTTTCTTAAAAAAATAAATTTGAATAATTAGAGCTATTTGATAATATTTTTAAATTTTTATTTGATTCCAAAAAGATTAAAATCTTAAGACAACGATGAATTAAAAAAAATTGTACGAACTTTAAGACTACATTTTCCTATAATAATTTGTCTATATTGATACTGTCATAACCATTTTTTTTATAAAACAATTAAATATAATTTTAAAAAAATTATGACTTTAGTTTAGAAAATTGGTCAGTTTTGAATTAATTTGAATAAAATAGAAAAGAGCCGCCATCGACCTTTGGGTTAGGTAGGTCGAATACCTAAAAACGACTTTTAAAATAATTTTAAGGAAAAATCGTTTTTAAGACAAAAAACGGGTATACGTTCACAAATATTCAATTTAAAAGGGTTCGGGGGTCGATTACGTGTGGGGAAGGAGTAACATCCCCACGACGCCCAAAATTGATACTGTGTCGATTACATATTGTCATAATGGTGGAAGTTGTGAATCGAATATAAAGTTAAAATATGATCTATTTATCGAACATTGATTAATTTGCTTGGAATTAATTATTGTTAGAGAAAATTATTTAACTCGGAAAGAAACATCGAAATTAACATTCCTCCGTCGGGAAAGCTATTTCGACTATCTCTTATCCATAAAGAATATTCGTTCTTTGATAAAATACGAATCAAATATAAATTGAATATTGACAGTTACGTAAAATAACGAAAATTGTCATTTAAAGATTAATATATTGCATTGTAAACAAGATTTAATTAGTAAAATAACCGAGATTTATTTCAAGTTCCCATGTCGTAAAATGTCGTGTCGGATCGCACCACTTCGACCAAGTGATGCTTTCCACGCTCATTTTATGCATACGTGTTTTTGAAACGATTCTAATATTTCATCCATGGATAAAATGAAATGGAAATAAATGCAATTAAAAAATACAAAATAACATGTTTACATTAAATGGAACTAAAAACATTATCTACAAAATACACATAACCATAAAATATGTAAAATACATTCATACATAAATGACTAAAATAAAAACAAAATAAAAATAAGTAAACATTACAAACCAAAATAAAATCATTAAAATACAAATATTTACAGGACTAAAATAAAATTAATAGAAATTAAAAGGGCTGAACAGTAAATACATAAAGTTAAAGGACCAAAATAATAAATAAATAAACTTAAAGGACCAAAAAACAAAAATAGAAATTTAAAAGGTCCAAAATAGTAAAAATAAACATTTAAGGGATTAAAATAGCAAAATAGATATTTAAAGGACTAAAATAGTAAAAATAGAATCTTAAAGGGTTTAAAATGGTATTAATAGAAACTAAAAGTTTCTAATAAACAAATATTAACAAATCAGAGCCCTAATAATCAAATTAAAATAAATACAGAGACCAGAAACAAAAATAACCCATAAATAATGTTTACAGATTAACATAAAATAAACAAGAAACATTGAGGACTAAATAATAATTAAACCTAAATACAACAATGACTAAAATAAAATATATACAAATGTCATGGTCAAAATCGAATATTAACAAAAAAATACATAATATGTAAAAAACAGGACTAAAATACAAATATTGAAACAGTAGTGCTCGAAATAAAATAAATCAAAACTTCATTAACTGGCTAAAAAGTAAGATTACAAAGGATCAGGAATTTAGAGTGCTATTTACCCTTAGTATGAAAACACACTGAAGGTCCATGGCAAAACGGCGTCGTTTTCAAACTGAGAGAGGAGATAGAGAGTCTTAGGCCTAAGGAATTTAGAGGATATATATATATATATTCTCTTAGTATGAAAACACACTGAAGGTCCATGGCAAAACGGCGTCGTTTTCAAACTGAGAGAGGAGAGAGAGAGTCTTAGGCCTAAGGAATTTAGAGGATATATATATATATATATATTCTCTTAGGCCAAAAAATGGCCACCCACCTCATTTGTTAGGTTTCAAACTAAGAGAGGAGAGAGAAAGTTTTTAAACTCTCTCAAAATCCCTCAACAGAGAAGGGAAAATCGTCGTTCACCTACGATTCCCGCGTGGCTCTCACAGCGGTGTACGGTGGTCGGAGAGAGCCAAACACCCCAAATAAAACATCCCTTCACCCTTAACCCATATCTCACCCTAGTTTAGCCTAAAACCACTCATTAGCCATAGATCTAGAGATATTACCTCTCCGCAAACTTGGAAAAAGACGACCCTTAGTGTTCCACGACCTTCGACGAACCAACCTCCTCGATAAGCTCTCTATCATCCCCTCTTTCTTTTTCTTCTAATGATTTTTTCTTGCCCTTTTTCTTAGTTATTTTCGAGTAGGTTATCCCTCTGTATTTCCCCCCGAATATATCCTCTTCTCACCGAATCCCCCTTCTCTCTGCTCTCGATTCTCCTCATTTTGGTGATATATCCTATTTCTTTTTTATCTTCTATGTCATCTCTTTGATGGATTTGATAGCCTCGGTGTAGGGTAATAATATCCTATATTTTTAGGATAAGATTTTCTTATTTTCTATCTTGGATGGGCTCTTGCTCACTGTTTGATGGATGTTTGGCAGAAACCGGTCACTGTTGGTGAAAACATCGATCAGTGGGACACTCGGCAACGACTCGGGAATGCTAGACGATGGCTCACGTGTCGGGAGGAATGGACGATGAAGTCCCCGTGCCAGCTTGGTGACTGATTATCACTGGCGGCGGCGGTTGAGCTAGTACTTAGGGTTTTAAACCCTAATCCCTTGGGCGATCTAGACCGTTGAATGCGTCCAAATCCAAGGGTTGAGATTTGGGCGGCTAGCAGCAGAAGAGAAAAAAAACCATAATCGAGTATTCAAGCGGGCCTGGGGTTGGGTCGGATCCTGGGCCGGTTCGAGTCTGGACTTTAACTGGGTTGGTCTGAGTTGGGCTCTGGTGAGCTTGTAATATGGGCTTGGATGTAATATGGTCACTGGTTTGTGGGCTTGAATTTAGGCTTACAAAATGTAATTAAGTATTGAAATAATAATAATAATAATAATAATAATAATAATAATAATATTATTATTATTATTATTATTAATTTTTTTTGTAGACTCAGACAAAAACGAGTGTCTATAGCTGCTCCTCTTTGCACATTCTTGTGTTAACAAAAACAGGGAAAAGACGAAAAAGACAACCAGTTTTTGTCCCATTTTTTGGTTTTGAAAATTGATAGTGTTTGGTATTGGGGACGACACGACTCATACGTGATGAAGAGGTCTGGTCGTCTAAGGGGGACACAGCTCTTATGTAATGAGGAGATCTGGTTGGGGGATGGCACTGCTCATACGTGATGAAGAGTTCTTGGCCATCTTTAGGGAGGGTGGGTTCCTACGCGATGAGGACGGTTGGTTATCTAAGGGTGACACGGCTCCTACGTGATGAGGGGGTCTGGTCGATGGATGACATGGTTCCTACGTGATGAGGATGACAAACCATATTTAGGGATGATAACACAGTTCTTACGTGATGAGGATGACTGATTATCAGGGGTGACACGGCTCCTATGTGATGAGGAGGTCTGGTCGGGGGATGACACGATTCATACGATGAGGAAAGCAGGTCATCTTTAGGGATAATGGTTTCAAGAGAAACTAACTCAAAGATGATGCTTCAAGAGAAGCTGTCTCAAGAGAGAATAAATTTGTTTCAAGGAAATGACTCAAAGATGGTTTTGTTTCAAGAGAAACAGACTCAAAGATTTTGCGTTTTCAAAGAAACTGCCTCAAGGGAGACAAGATTTGTTTCAATGGAAATGATCTCAAAGATGTTTGTTTTGTTTCAAGGGAAACATACTCAAATATGATAAATTTTGTTTCCAAAGAAACTGACTCAGGGATTTTTCTCAAAAAGAAACTATCTCGAGAGATAAAATTTGTTTTTAAGAAAACTGTCTCTAGCGAGATGACACTTTGTTTTGAGAGAAACAACATCAAAGGATATTGATAGTCTTCTTGTTCCTACTGGTGGAGGAAATTCCTTCAGAATATCTGATCGTTCGTATCAGGATGTTGAATCCTCAAAGATGCCCCAACATTCGATGTTAAATCTCCAAAGATACCCCATCATTTATTGTTTCTTACTTCAGCACTGATTCTAAGCATGAGCTTTATGTCTGAGAGGCACATATCAGCTACCAAGATCTACTCTAGAGGGATTATCTTGTTTGAAAAACGGTTTTCTTCTTCTTTTATTTTCAAAAGTCTGAAAATATATCAAGTAAAAGAGTTTTAAAAAAATGTTTAATCAAAAGTTTTGAAAATATTGCCTTTTTCTATGTTTTACAATTGAGACAAATCATAAAACAAGAGCTCATTGGATATTAAAGAATTAATTACACTTTTAATCCTTCAACAAATTATAGTTATTTGACAACTCTCAAGATTAATGCTATTATTGAGGTATGCCTAAGTAAGGAAAGGATAAAAAAGTCTCAAGTTGTTATTTTTGGTCAATGGTTTGGTATTCTCATTTATTTGTTGTTCACCGATTTGATGGAGTAGCTTCTGTACTTATTTATTGGAAGTTTTCTCCGACTCCTAGCTCTCATGTTCTCATTCATGTTGTGTGATGCCTTATCAATGGATTTGTGTGATCGCCTCTTATGCAATAGTTGCACAGTCTTCATTTTCCAC